TCCATTATTTTCAATTATTGTAATAATCAATCAAAAAAATATTTTCAAAAAAAAAGGATTTTTATAAAAAATTTATTTCTGATTGAGTTATTTCTATTCTAATTTAAAATATTATCATTTCAATTTTGAATTAAATATTAATTAATAATTTTGTATTGTCAAAAAACAATCTCACCATCAATGCATCAACGCACCTTCTCTTTACCGTTTCATATTTTCTCTTTCGATCCAAATTAGATCAAAACAACAACTTATCGTCTTTTCTCCTCCCAAGTCTAGAAGACAAAACAACCTCAAATAATATTTCATTCCTATTTGTTGTTTATATGCTTGGGCTCTTATTTTGTAGATTATGACTTTGCATCAAACCTGACGATACATTTGAATTTGAATGATAATAATTTTATGGTATAAAAGTCATGATTTTTCATGTTTTTATACAAAAATTATCCTGTGTAACTTATATTCAAAGTTAATTTCAAATAAATTAATTAAGATCATTATGTGTTTGAGTGTAAGACTATGTAAAATCCTTTTCCTACTAATTTAAGTTTTATTTAGAAAGACCCCTCTTTCTTCATTGTTGAAGAAGAGAGAGAGTGCAAAGATCACGTGTGCACAGTACCCAACAATCTCTTTCTGGGAGCTCTATGGTATCTGCAAACATATTAAAAAATAATTAATTTTATAATATCTTTGTTTTAATATGCAAACAGATAAAAAAAAATTATAATATATATTTATGACCATTATAATCATATGACAATATGGGGGACAATTGGAATATAAGCATATTGCATCAACAAACATGTAATAGTGACAGTAGAATAAAGATAGAGAGAAGAGCTATAAATGGAGAAGAAGAGACCAAAATCATTACCTTTTCTTCTGAAATCTCAAATGAGAAGAAGATTTTCTCCTTTCTCCAACACAACAAAATGTGTTTGTATTCATTCAGTTTTAATACCCTTATATGCAAGGGAAATTTGGCAAAATGATAATTTGTTAAGAGAGAATGATGGAAGGTTATCTCAAATATTAGATTAATAAGAACGATTTAATTTGCAATGAATCATAATCATAAAGTTTATCTCAAACATTAGAATAATAAGAACATTTACATTTGCAATGAATCATAATCATAAAGGTTGAGCAACTTTATATCTAAAGCCACTAATATAATTAGTACAATAAAAAACTAACACATAACCTACCATGTCAAATAATCAAGACCAAGCCTATATTATTGTAAATCTAATGTCACTTATATATCAAAGTAAAAAAAATTTGCATGCATTTATACTTGAAAACAGAACAAAAATTGCATGCATTTATTCTTGAAAACAAGTTGTATTACGCAACACCAAGTTGTAAACAAAGTTTATCAGTATCAGATAATTCTAAAACACTTGGAATTGAGTGAAATTCTACGCGAAGTTCCATGCATTTTAATGTGCATTATACTAATAAGAAATACCAAGATCAAGATGATACTTAATAAGAAAATCATAAACAAACAAAATAGATAAAATAGTAGTCATAAAGTCAAAGTTGATATAGAGCATCAGATTTAACTAGCAATTGACATGGCTTTTTAGAAGTCAAAGAATGTTACCTAAAAAGTATATTTCAGTTACGCATAAAAAAGCATTCAAAATTCTTTACCAAACTTTGAAGCCAAAATAGTAAAGATCCTTTGAAGCAAACAGAGTAGAGATCCTGAAACCAAATGTAAAACACGAAAGATCTAAAGAAAGCTCTGACAAGAACAGTGGAATCGCCTGCAAATAAACCATAAGTAGCCTGTTCTTTGGTAGTTTGCTGACCATATATATCTCTAAACAAATAAAACATAGTTGAAATGGACATGCCAGTTATAACTACTTTTTTACAAAGTATTGTAGCAACTTGAACCCTCTTTGGAGGATGCACTCTACAACTATTGAACTCTATCTTATTACATATGATATTTTAATGTGCCTGTGAATTGATATCTTTATATAGCAGAAATTCTAAGTTAAATCTGAATACTCAAATCTAGTACTTAGAACATAGAAAATAGGCCTTCTTAAACATTCATGGAGAAAAAATGTCTTTAGTCTCTTACATCTCCAAATTAAGTTTTTCTTATTTCATATAACATATGATCGGAGCACATACTTTACTGAACCATCCAAACAATAAACCATCTATGCTCCAGAGGACCATCCAAATAAGAAGCATTTTAAGGGAATGAATGCACAATACTCATCTTGTTATATATATAATTGAGCGAATACAACGGTTATCGATCGTACCGATAGCCAAACCAAACCTTCGTTTGACGGTTGAATTCATCTTCCAAAGAGTCAAAAAAAAGCGTTGAAGAAGTTCAGAAGACAGAGTGCGGAAACGTTTTAGAAGTTGAAAATACCGAAATAATGGGAGGAATAAACGTGCGATTGGAGTAAATGCTGGTAAGAAGAAACTTAAAAGAAGTTTAGGAGATCGAAACATTTGGAGAGATAAACCTACCGGAGAATTTGGAGAGAAACTATCGGAGAAGATGGTGAGCGAAGAAGCTAGGGCAAGCCGAAGAAGATAGACGACGCGAAGAGAACACAAGCGGCGACGAGGCGGACGGAGTGCACATACATACGAAGAGACTTCGACGGAGGGCTCATATATATTAGTGGAAACGGATAAATTAGGAAACATAGAAGTAAATCAAATAGATGGATTTAATGGGGAAACGGATAGAACAACGAACATATAATTGAATGATTAAAACGTTGAGAAATTTTAATTAAATGGAGCAGACGGATTAAATGCGGATACAGATAAATTAAGGAACATACAATTAATTGATTAAAACGTTCTGAAATTTTAAAATTAATTTAAAATAAGTCTTACATAAAGAGCATTAAATTATATAAATATTTTTTTGGAATTATTAATTATTTATATTATAATGAATGACCAAGATAATTTAAGAAGAAATAAAATGAACGGCCAAAATTTGCTAGGGAAGAAAATTCAAGCCCTTTTATAATTAGTAAATTTGACTTTATGGACTCTTGTTTTAAAGAAGCATTAAGATCAAAAATTTTTAGGGTAAATGATAGAATTTGAAGAGTCATATATGGACATTGTAGATTAATTTAAAATTTATAGATGTACGATCAAGATTTGTTATGGGTGGAATCTCAAAACCTTTTTATATAGTAATATAGATTTAAAAATTAAAGCTACCTAGTTTTTTTTTAGTTCAAAAATTTTTATTACTATTTTTTTTTAGATTTAGTCTAATTAAGTTAAATTCATACACACATCACATACGTGAGACTCGAGCTCAAAACCATTTGATTAGTAACCAAAATTCCCAACCAATAAAGCGAGTTAAGCTGAGTTGAGCTGTGTAATAAATATAATTTTATTAATCTAATTAGGATTTATAAAGAATTTTTAAATATAATTAATAATATTTTATTATATAAATTAGAAATAATTGCAGACTAGAATATACGCGGCGATAGAGTTAGAAAACTTTCTTCTCAGCGTTGTATGGATATCTAGCACACAAGCATGAGAGGAATAATAACACCAGGATTTTTACGTGGAAAACCCTGGAAAGGGAAAAAATCATGGGGCCGCGCCCAATTGAAACAATTTCACTAGTGTTTGTTTGAGGTACAAGAGGCTGACCTGTCCTTAAAATTTAGAACGATCAGATTACAATGCTGTACTTCCGGATTGAAATCCGATTACAAACAAGTTGTGTATTAGAGTTGAATTCAGAGTCACTTAGAATTCCGACGTCACTTGGAAATCAGACAAAGTTCCGGCGTCACTTGGGTGTTAGGAAGAATTCTAGCGTTACTTGGGCGTTGGGCAGAATTCTGGCGTCACTTAGGCAAAATTCCAGCGTCAGACAGAATTTTGACGTCACTTGGGAAGAATTCCAGCGCCACTCGGGCGTTGGACATAATTCCGACGTTGGTGGTCGAGGAGGAGCTTCTTCCTTCCTAATATTCTTCTCTTCTTCTTATTGCTTGGGTCCTCTCTCATGAGAAATGAGGGGTCTATCTATAGATATTCTGGAGTGGCATGACTTCTAAATAGGTGAGAGATCAAGGGTGAATCTCTTGATTATGCACCGTTTGTCAGACATTTGAAGATCTTAATGATGTCGAAATTCAATGATATTGGGCTCGTTGGATTCATCTCGTTGAGCCGCTCGATTTGATTATAAGAACATTATATTTATAAACCGTTTGGTAACTCAAATTATGATTTGAACTTTCCAACAGTGCTTCGGATGCTTGATTTGGACTCATTTGGACTCGAATTTGGTGCCGTTGAGTTCGTATTTCCGAGACGCACAATGTGACTATAAGTTTGTCGAAATTGGAGTTCGAATGATCCTATATTTAATTTTTGAAGTTTCCAACTTGATTTTTGCCTCGAGATTCATGCCCAATCAAGGCAATTTTTTTATTATGTATCATAAATAAATAAATTAATTGTAATAATTAATATTAATCAATTATAAATCTTAGTATTATTAAAATCTTATTTCGGTTACTATACTTAAATCTCGAAGTAACCAATTTATTCATCAAATTTTAATTGAATTTTATCTTTATCATGCAAACAATATTAAGGATTTAGTAAATAATTTTTTTATTTGAAAGCTGCTTTGAAAAGCAATAAGAAAGTCATAATAAACTAAGTCTTAACTGTAATAGCCATATTTTAATTTATACAATTTTTTTTTTAGAAGTCATAAGTTTTAAATGAAATTCGAAGGAAAATTGTTTTATTTTTTTATTAGATTTAAATGAGAATTTGACTCTTAACATAGCATAATAGAGAAAAATAATTTATATAGCCAACCCCACGTAGTGGGATAAAGGCTTGATATTTTTATTGTTACTGTTATTGTATGAGTCATTATAAGTCCAAATCACAAACTATCTTCACCATAATGTATATGTTATTATGCTTTATTATAATATTTTTTTCATAATTTTGTTATTACTGATACAAATCCTTAAGAAATTAGCACCTCTCAGTACAAGTGAGAATTTTAGGACTATCAGGTATTTATTTTGCAACCCATTTCACCAATTTTTTTTTAAATAAAATGAGTTATGTTATTAATATTTTTCTATAATTTTTAATGCCCGCAAAAATTATTTTAAAATTAAAATTAACTAAAGGTAAATATTCAAAGACTTAACTATACTTTAAAATTAAAATTAAATAGAGATCATATAATTTTGAAGCCTACTATTTCATTAAAAGAATCTTAAATATAAAAAAATTTATATTTATATATAATATTTTTTTAACATTACTTTAAAATTAATGTTTTGCTAAAATTAAATAAGTTAATGATAGTGGTGAGTCGCTTTGTGATGAGGGTGATGGATGAAAATGATTATTAATGATTATTCTATGATGTGGATAAGTAATATGGAGTTTATGGTAAGATGGTGATGAATTTTGAAGGATATAGTGAAGGGAAAGGCAAGATGAGGTTAGTAGGTTTAATTGTTCATGATTTGATTTTAAGTCTTTAAAGAATGGGTTTAATGATAGATAAATAGAGAAATAGATGTCGAAAAATTTAGGATATGAAGTTATGATTTTGAGCTTTTGTTAGAGTTTTATAAGTTTCAAGATTAGATACAAGGGAGCCTAATCAAGATCTAGGGCTTAAAAGTGGAATTTGGGCTTATTTTAATGGCTTGAATTATGAATGGATGGTCTTTGAAGAAGGCTAAGAGGGCTAGGATGTTGTCAAAGATGCTAAAGAAATTTAAAAGAAGATTCAACAAGGGTAGTAATAATAAGCATAAGAGATAGTTATCCAATTATATCAAGGTTGATTAAGAGTGGGCCACCAAGCCCTAACAAAAAAGAATAGTTTTCTCCAAAATTTTGCATCATTCAAAATAATCACAATATCAAACCTTAAGCATATTAATCAATATTAAGAGAAATTATTATGTGCGGTCACCGGACGTCGTCTAGAGACGAATCAGAATGTGTCATGTCATTTTTTTGCTATGTACTGATGTTGTGTACTGGGTGATGTGGCGCATCATGATTCATCTCTGAATCGTTCAGTGACCGCATATAATAATTTCTTCAATATTAAACTTTCAATGCATAATTAAATATTAAAAATAATATATAGCTCAAATGCTTTGTTTGATGCAAGAGTTCTAAGTAAATATTACACAGTGAGATAACTTTTAATCTTCCAAAATAAAAAAGAGAAAAACACCATATCAGAATCGACATCTGAAACCTCTTCTGGTTGCAAACTTGTAAGCCATAATGGAAGCTCGGAGTACCTCAGGGCCTTAATATTATCTCTAACTGGACATGTTTCCTTCTTAAGTTATATGCAATATCTTCATGGAAATCAACACTAGCAGTGAAAATGGCATCCAGTTGTGAAAGGAATCCTTCATTCTGGAGCGCAAAATCTGGCATTAGCTCTTTAAGAAAGCCTGCAATGAGAAGGGAGGAGGACCATCCTGTAACCACATAAAAATCATGGGTTATTTATTCTTTCAGTGGGTATTTATACACAAAACTACATATAGAAAGATAAAGAAGAACAAAGAAAAACTACAAAAAAAAATTATAAAAATATGCTCAGTAATCCGAGGCTTCTTTCCTTTCCTTTATCTACAGGAATCCATAGGATGAGTGTTTTCTTACTTGAACGAGTTATATGTTGTTTCTGTTTTCCATCTCAGGCATTTTTGCTGGCAGTACTAGGATTTATTATTCTGTGTGGAGTCCGGAGGGCGTCCGGAGACCAATAAAAATGCGTCACGTCATCCTATTGCTCGGTACTCTTCGATACCGCTAGATACCCAGAGCTTAACCGGACGGGAGAACCGTCCGGTGTCCGCACAGAATAATAGCTCTAGCACTATACCCATCAGCCTTTCTGGATGATATGAATCTGCCATCCCAAATTTGCAAATTTTTTTGTGAATTTATCAGCAAGTTTGCTTCTTGTAGGGACATGGGGAGTGCAAGTCAATTTGCTTTCTGGTCTTTCTTTTATAAAATGTCTATCCACTTTCATATATTTTGTTAGATCATGTTGTATTGGGTTGTGACCAATTTTGATAGAATGTTTATTGTTATAGTCTATCTTCATAGGCTATTTCTACCTGAATTTTAAATCTTCTAAAATAATTGTGATCCAGGAAGTTCATACATATCTTGGGCAATTGCTTTAAATTAAAATTTAGCATTAAAACTTGAAACAACAGGTTGCTTATTGGTCCTCCATGTTATAAAAGTTTCCTCAGATAAGTATGCAATATCCAAAAATGAATTTCCTATTCACAAATGACCTCGCATAATCAACATCATTATAATCTTCAATCTGTAGAGTATCATGTTTTGTATAGATGATCCCTTTTTCGGGACTCGATTTGAAGTACCTGAGAACTCTTTAAGCAGCTTGAATATGAGATTTTTGAGTTTGTACATAAATTGACTGATAAGACTTACTGTAAAAACAATATTATGATGGATGTGAGATAGCTAAATTAGTTTCAAAACCAGTATTTGATATTATCATGTCCACTTTTGTTCATTTTTCAACTGAAATTGATTTAAGACCTAATTAATAGTTTCCCAAAACTTATAATTAGTCATTTTAATTTCCTTCACTAGGTTCAATATTTTGTTGAGAGAAAAAAATTCGTTATTGTGATTGAGCAACTACTATACCCAAGAAGTTTTTGAGTTAGACCAATTATTTGATTTCAAATTCTTCAACAAATTTTTTTTCCCAAGTGACTATGTTGTGAAAGACTGGCAAAAATTAAAAGAACTTGCCTGAAAATTAAAATTTCAGTAAGATGAAAGTAGAAATTGAGAGAAATTTGGAAGCAAAACACTACAGAGGTTGATAATTGATGAAAGATGGAAGAAAACAAACAAGATACAATGGTAATTCGAGAGAAATATCCGACTCTCCTAAGAGAATCAATTCAACAAAACAAAACATAACCCTAACCCTATGGAGAAAATCAACTTAAAGCAAAACACATTCATCTAATCTCTAAACAACCCTTTGAATTTTTCCTCCCAAACCCATCCTTAATTAGTGCTTAATTTACTACTGGACCCCGCCAATGAGTTTCACCTCCTACTGGGTGGAACCTTTGTTCTGCCTGGTGTAAACGTGAGCCGGTCCTGGGTGGACCGGCTGGACATGTCTAACAATACCCCCTCCCAAAGACCCACCTTGTCCTCAAGGTGAAAATATGGGAATTAATACTTCACCCTCGTATGGCTCCTAGGTGGCGTCATAGTCGGGTAGGCTTTTTCATTTAATCAACACTTCCTTCATCCCCCATACTCCTTGTTGTATCTCTTTAAGCTCCAGTGGTTCCAACACCACCTCCAATTCCTCTATCAGTGACGCCGGTAATTCTGATCTAACTACATGCTCCCCAAGAGCTCTCCTCAACCGTGACACATGGAATATTGGATGTATGGTAATGGTCAGAGATAACCTCTAGCGATAAGCCACTACACCAATCCTCTTCAATATCTCATAAGGGTCAGAATACCTCAGGGTCAGCTTCTCGTTCCTCTTGTTGGCTACTATCCTCTATTTGTGTTGTACCTCCGCCCATGCTAGCCATTTAGCCCACAGCCGAGGTGTCTTTGAAGCAAAACACAACAGGTAAGTCTCCAGACTCCTATTTACCATCTTTGTCTACCTGTCTATCTAAGGGTGGTAAGCGATGCTTCTTTTTAGAACCGTTCATTGCAGCCTAAACAACTATCTCCAGAAGTGACTAAGGAACACCTTATCTCTAGGGCTGCAAATGAACCGAGCGTTCGACGAGCTACTCGTGACTCGGCTCAATAAGGGCTCATTCATGTTCGTTTGATAAGGTAAACGAATAAGCTTAACAACTTTGACAATACTTGATAGCTAAATAAACAAGCTCGAACACCCTACAGTTCGGCTCGTTTATGTTCACGAACAAGATCGTTTAGAGCTCGTGAACATGCTCGTTAAGAATCTTGATTATGTCTTATTTAATTAAAAAAATATTTAATTATTAACTAAAAAGATATTTACCATTTATAACTAAGTTCATTTATATTACTGTTTAACTAATAATATATTTAATTATTTATTATTATTTAACTATTATACCGTTATTTAATTTCTATTTATATTTCTATTTGTATATATAAATTACTATTTTAAAATTTTAACCCCCTGCCCACTCACCCACCTCTCTCTCTTAATTTCTCTATTTTAATTAATGCCCGCCTACTGCCTCTCTCTCTCCTTCGTGGCTGACAGGAAAACAAAACAAAAAAATTGTAGGGGAGGCTTTAGTCCCACACAACCTGGTTAAAAAAAATTTCTCTACATAAAAACAAATAGAACTGCAGCTCATTCGAAGTGTAATGTGCAGGAGGCGGGCGATTCATTGCGTTCTTTGTTGGCGATTCATTGCGTTCTCTGTTGTTGTGCAGCTAGCTTACCAACTAGGAAGCATTTGATTTATTTTGTTAATTATGGTCAGCTCAGCTGGCTCGTTCACGAGCTCGATAAGTGTGAAACGAACCAAACTCGAACACGAATCGAACCGAGCTCAAACATGGAAGTTTTAAACAAACTCGAACTCGAACAACTGTCCCAGAAGCTCGACGAGCTTCGAACCGAGCTTGAGCTCGATTATGACAGACGAGCCCGAACTTGAACATGCCAAAGCTCGGCTCAGCTCGATTCGTTTGCAGCCATACTTATCTCAATTAGATACTATCAACTCTAGGATCTCATGCAATCTAACAACCTCTCTATTGAATGTTGATGCTACTGTAACTGTCGTGTAGGGGTATCGTAAGAGAATGAAATGAGCATATTTGTTCAACCTATCAACCACCACCAGAATCATTGTACATCCCTCGGATTGTAGTAGCCCATTTATAAAATCTATGGTGACTTCCTCCCACAATCTATCTCGAATAGCCAGGGGTTGAAGTAATCCTCCTAGGGCCATAGCCATGTACTTATTTCTCTGGCATACCTCATATCTAGCCACCATTTCCTTAACATCCTAATGCATCCCCTTCCAATACAATTTTGCTGGCAATCTCCAGTAGGTCTTCTGCACACCAAAATGGCCCTCAATAGCACTCCCATGGAACTCCTATAATAGGTGGGGAATATTAACCAAGGTCCGTGGCAGCACAAGCCTCCCTTGCTACAACAATCTCTCCCCTTCTAGATAATAACTGAGGTGGCTACTCTCGTCCTTCAATAGATCCGCCCTAATCCCCCTCAGCCCCTCATCTTGCACACTCTCCTCTTTAATAACCCCTCAATCCAACATCAATGGTACCACAATGACTAACTCTTGGAGCTCCCCCACGCATCTGGATAAGGCATTAGCCGCCTTATTCTCTAGCCCTGGCCTATACTGGATCTTAAATTCATATCCCAAAAACTTTGACAGCAACCTTTGATGTTCCTCGATCACCATCCTCTACTTTAGCAAGTACTTTAAGCTCCACTGGTTTATCCTAACTATGAAATGTCGGCCCAACAAGTAATTCAACTACTTCCGAATAACCAATACAATGGCCATCAATTCTCTCTCATAAACTGATTTCAGCCTAGTTTTGGCTGTCAACACCTAACTGAAGTAGTCTATGGGTCTGTGATTTTGCACGAGCAATGCCCTCAATCCATATCCCGAGGCATCAGTCTCCACCACGAACATCTAGCTGAAATCGGATAGGGCCAGGACCAAGACCGTAGTCATGGCTGTCTTTAATCTCTCAAAGCCTAAGTGGCTGCCTCTCCCCACAAGTTGTCCTTCTTCAGCAGCTCTGTCAGAGGCCAATATATGATATTGTATCCCCTCACGAATCTCCTATAATACTCAATCAATCATAAGAAGCCCCTCAACTCCCTCAGGTTCCTAAGTAGAGGTCATTTCAGGATGGTCTCAATCTTAGCATGATCAACGGCCACCCCTTCCTTGGATACCACATGCCCCAAGTACTCCATGCTAGCCTATAAAAAACAACTATTCTTCATATTGACCCTCAGCTGATGCTCCTGGAACGCCTCTAAGACCGCCCTTAGATACTCCAAATGATCCTCCCTAAACTTGATGTACATCAGGATATCATCAAAGAAAATAAGAAAAAACTTCTTGAGGTAAGTTTGGAACACACTGTTCATGAGGAATTGAAAGGTAGCAGGGGCATTGGTGAAACCAAGCGGCATCACCAAGAACTCTTAGTGTCCCTCATGTGTCCTAAAAGATGTCTTCGGAACATCCTCCTCTCTCATCCGGATCTAATGGTACCAAGACTTCAGATCCACCTTCGTGAATATCGCCGCTCCACAAAGCTCATCTAACAACTCATCTATCATTGGAATAGGAAACTTGTCTGGCACAATCTTCTTATTCAGGGCCCAGTAGTCCACACAAAATCTCCAACCTCCATCTTTCTTCTTAACCATTAA